AGATAACCTCTAGTAGCCATATATTTACACATCTATCGAATCTCTCCTTAGGTAAATATTAATATATGTTTCCTTGATTGCTAATATGCATTTTTGATTTTGTTGGTTTTGGTTACCTTTTTGTCATGTTTTATGCATTGATCTTTGTTCCGACTTAGCGATAAAGAAAGATTATGTGATGCAAAATATGACTATTTTCTGCAGATAGTTTTCAATCTATTTTCGGCGTCTGAACTTTCACTACCCCGTAAATGGTGTTATATACGGGGTCAGTATCTACAACTATGCCGTAGTCGCTGCACCTGACATCCGCCAACAAAGATATGGCCCACGCCACGTCCCTATCTACTAACAGCCTCATAATTATCGACTTGTCAGTACCATTTCTGAAAAGTGAAAGACGTGTAATTTTTTTTACCTTCTAGAAAATGAAGATCTCTAGAGATACATTCACAGAGTTGTTGTAGGGTGGAATCGAATGGAATTGAAACATGCCCGGTAATGAACCCTTGATAATTGTTGTGCTCCTCCCAACTAAAATCGTGACTAACAATGATCGCATAATGTTCTCGCATTGATTGATTGAATTCTTGAAAAAATGTAAAAATAAAATGGGTGGGGATTAATGATACCTTGTGTAAGAATATTAAATGAAGATCTCTAGAGATACATTCACAGAGTTGTTGTAGGGTGGAATCGAATGAAATTGAAACGTGCCCGGTAATGAACTCTTGATAATTGTTGTGCTCCTCCCAACTAAAATTGTGGCTAACAATGATCGCATAATGTTCCCGCGTTGATTGATTTAATTCTTGAAAAAATGTAAAAATAAAATGGGTGGGGATTAATGATATCTTGTGTAATAATATTAAAGAAACATTGTATTTAAGGTTGCTGATTACTGGAATGTTCAAACCAATTAGTTAGGTTTGTTTAAAAAAATTAAATACATTTTAAACTTGTTTGAATCATATATGTAGATTTGGTGGATTAAATTTTGTGGAAAGATTTTAGGAATTATATAGATTTTGTAGTTAAATGTGGATTCAATATTAAGTATGATATAGGTAGATTTTGTGGTTTAAATTTTGTGGAAAGATTTTAGGAATTATGTAGATTTTGTAGTTAAGGTGGTTTCAATATTAACTCGATAACATTGCTAGTTTATGAGAGATTTAAAGGAATGTAGGAGGCATAAAACGTGGATGGGTAAAATGGAGAAAGACTGCAAGGACAATATGGGCATGAAATGTGTAGAGGGATAAATAAGGAATTATACACCTCTCCTAAAATCTAGGAAACCAACCTTGGCCATGTCATGCAATTTAGAAAAACTTTAGYCACTTTGCTTAACGATAATATGTGAGTAGCCATTCCTAAGGATTTCCCGATAATTGGGATTTCCCTTAATTCACTTATTCAACATCATAATTTACTCCTTCAGAAATATTGATTTTCTTTATTTATCAATATTATTAATTAAAAAATATCCAAATCTTAATTATTGTGGGTGCAACATCTTTTCATCATCCTTATTTCTGCTACTGCTTGGTTGGTACGGTGCTTCTTTATACAGTTTTAGTTTTTTATTTGATTGCTTGAATATTTCAACACAGTTCATTCATTCCTTCATTCATACCCATATTGCTTGAATATTTGCACTGTCATTCGCATTGTTTTATTGTGTTGTTTGAGTGCAAGGTTTGTTTTAATGAAATCAATTTTATGAGGTTTAGATGCTTATTAATTTGGCAAGGTCTTATATCTAGTGTGTTTGAGATCATCTATGGCTCCCACGGGTTTTCAAATGTCTAATTATTATTATTTTTTCTGTTATTTATTCTTTAACAGAAGATAATTAACAGGAAACACGTATTGATTGACGCCAATATTCAAAGGAGAAGAAAACACAGTTTAGCTATACATCGAAGGAAATATGGGTATGAATGAATGTCATTTTCCTTTTTTAAATTACAGTTTAGCTATCTCTATACATGGGTATAAATTATGTTCATGTTGTTTCGTTACTATAACATATATTCTACTTGTATTTTTGAAATCTACTATTAACATTATGTATAAACGCCTTTTAAGTAAGATATAATTTATACCCACGTAAGTAAATGTACTTTTATCACTATATCCATGAAGTTCTATAAGACAGGGTAGTAAGTATAACATATTGAATATACAATATATTCAGTATAACATAGACTAAACTTTTCGAGATATAAAATTTATCTAGATATAATCTAAATCTCATATAAACTTCGATATCTTACAACTTTCTCCTTTAGTTATTGCTCTAATTCAAACTAGTTAATACTTAGAGCTAGATAGGTACCATAAGACACTTTTAGTATGTAGGTATTATGTAAATATTGTAGGCAGTACGTAAATCACCATAGGTATATATCACTATCAGTATACATCCACCAGAATAATATTGTAGGCAGCCAAGATATAATCAATATCAGTATATATCCACAGATAACAAAAACATCAGAAAGCTAAGATATAAATCACTAACGGTATATATCCTCCAGTATAATACTGTAGGCATTATATATCCACAAGATTTTTAGTTTTAAATCACCATCAGTGTATATCCGGATATATAAAACTTGAGTTATAATATATATCCTAATCTAATCATTATACTATATATTCTCACATATACAATATTTCAAACAAACGAAATCAAAAATTGAAACTTATTAGATAGAGTGCAAACCCTTCAAATTGAAGATGAACTACTTTGGCAATTGAGAAAAATAGAGGACGTCGGTCGGAGACGAATGCAGGCAGAAACTACCGGAGAATAGGAACCGACGAAATGAAATGCTCTTGCAAAGGTGGCCGGAGATGAAATACTC